AAATCACAAATGAGGTTTTTTGTAAATCATTAAGAAGCAAGACATAAACACATAGAATTGTCATAGTAGTGCTTGTAATTAGACCAACAATGGTAGTTATAATCATTTTTTCTTGAATATTCCATTGTTTCTTCGTTCTCTTTACCCATTGATAAAAACGTGCACATATTGAAGTGTCATTTTGAAGGAGTTCATACCAATCACTCGACGACACATTACATGCATACATGACATGCAGAGCAGATAAATCCAGCAAGCCGACATAAGTTGATCGGCACGAGTTTCATCATATTGAAATATATTTCGAAAATAGATGGCATCACGATTGNTTCGCACGCAATAGATGGTTCCCATGGACATGATTCATCCAACGTTTCAACATTCTCGTCTTCATCAGTTTTATCCATACAATCGTGTCAAAGAGAAAAGCGCGGGCGATACATCGACCATCCCTACAACGATATTCATTAATTGGATCTTTACACTCATTGACGTCTAACGGTAAACATTCGGGTTCATCCACTCCATTTGCACAGTCGAATACTCCATCGCATATTTGACGCCAACTGAGGCACATGATAGCTCGGTCACATTCGAGAGTAATTAAATCTTAGTAACACGTCGCGTTGGTAGAATTCACTTGAGCATAGGTGAGTCGGGAATGTGAAGATAGTTGTTTGTAAACGAGATCTTTGAATTCGGTTAGAATAGACAAATCGAAGGAGTATTTGCAACGAGGACTAAAGTATCTTTTTGTACAGTTACAGAAGAGTTCATCGCCCAACACAGTATTCGATGAGAGATAAGCAGTTTCATACATATCCACAATATCAACCCACGCGTTCCATTCAAGAAGATTGCTGCTTGTGATCTGATGTTGCTTAAATTGACCGAAGCTAAATGTTTGTCCGTTAGACGTCAATGAGTGTAAAGATCCAATTAATGAATATCGTTGTAGGGATGGTCGATGNAGAATACTCACGCTCTTCAATCGTTTCAGTATGATATATGAGAAAGTATGATTCTGCGACAGGCATGAGCCACAATGTACAGAACGGAAGATGCAACATCTTGCTGTCTCTTGGTCGTATGATGAATGATGAATCTTTTACTATGAACTTTGCCTATAAGTCATGGACTATATTTTTTCTTTGTTCAAATAGACCGTCGTTGCTCATCCGATGTCAGTTTTTGCACGTACTGGGAGACAACAATGATAAATAAATGACTTTTCAAAGCAGAATCAAAGTCAGAGCAGTTGCTATAGTAGCGATGACGATCGGCACGTTCATATTGTTGAACGATAGTCGAAGAGAAAACATGTCAGCGAAGGAAATATAAAACCTATGTAGATTAATTCTTTCTACAAATAAAGTTTAGAGATATTAGCACGTTTCGGTATGATCATAATTCTTTCCAAATAAATTTTCATGTAACAAGCGGCGGTCTTTTTCTTTACCTTTCCATTGTTAGTTTTTAACTTGAGAATATCCGCATATTGAGGGATGTTCGTAGAAACTGTATTGTTAGAAACAAAACGATTGTTGACTTCTTTTATATTTGTTGGACAAAAATATTATTTATTAATAAATTTCAGTTTTCTTAGTTTAATAATGATCAAGAAAGCTTTTCATCCATATTTTCTAAAGGCATGCAAAATAAAGATCCACCTGTTTCATGTTTCGATCGATAAAAATAAAAATGGTGATAATATTGGCTTTTGGTCTAAGTGAAAATAAAAATTTTTTTTGGTTAAGATGATAACTTCAATGCAACATCCTGGGACTTTTAACTCATTGTGATATTTTCTGAGTAACTTGTGAATGCTTTAGTATCATTTTCATATGTTTTCTGAAGGATTCCTAGAAAAACATTGAACACGAAGAAATAACATCTTATCTCTTCGATCATACAATTATATTTTGGATTTAGTGAACAAAACTGGGTTGAGAGTGAGAGTGAGAGTGAGCAAGAAAGGACGAGCAAAAATCCACTCACTCAGCCTCACTAATAACAAATACCAAATTCAAAAAATAAAAGACATCGCAGACGTAAAACTATCTAGGTTTTTGATTTGAGAACTATTGTCCTCGTTCATACGCCAAACGAATCCCGTTGAAATGAGGATTAAAAATACGTATGGCTTTTCTTAAAATTCCTCTCACTGCTGAGGAATTTTACCTTTTCTAAATCAGGAGCGAAAAAATCGGAACCCGTAATTCTCAATTTTCTTCATCAGAATTCAGGTTTTATGCAATAAAAGTATCATATTTGGAGTGAGCGTCGAAAACTAAGTAGAATAATATATGTTTTGAAAGCTTTTACTGATTTTTATTTTTTGGTGAAAATCTCAGTAAGTTTTCTACGCGGAAATTCAAAACAACCAAAAGTGGTCGGAAAGGATAAAAAGGTTTAGAAAAGGTAAAATTTCTCAGCAGTGGAGAAGAATTTCAAAAAAAGCTACACGTACTTTTAATTCTCATTTCAAGACGATTTGTTTGGCGTATGAACGAGGACGATAGCTGTCAAAGCAAAACACTAGACATGTTTGCAAAATGAGGCATCCCGTTTTGACATACGTCGGTTCGGATATCCATAGCGGACGACTGTTTACCTGACCTCTGTCGTAAAATGGATTTTCTGCAGTTGTATTGCAAGATGGATGATTCAAGCTATATTTTTCTGAATCATCCATCTTGCAATACAACTGCAGAAAATCCATTTTACGACAGAGGTCAGAGAAAGATTTAAAAGTGGTATTAGAAGTTCAGTAGGCTTATATTGCGTCCCTGGGTTTAGTCATCTGGTCTGAAGGAGCACAATCCTCTAGTACCAAGTCTTAGAGCATTCGTTTAGTATTGTTAGTTCAGTGGTGGCCACCTTCTTCATTTATCCTGCTAAAAGTAAACAACTGGTAAGATGCACGCAAAGCAAAAATGCAGGAAAAATATTATTTTTTTACATACCATACACCATTCGATAGAGAATTTCAAGGCGGTCAAGAATATGTGTGCCTTGAGTTTTCTCAACCCTTTTTCCGGTTGAAAATTTGAAAAAACTCGGAAGGTGTCAAAAACAGCCAATTTGGCAACTTTTCTTAGATACGTCCTTTTTTGAAATATGTTACGAGATGGAATCTTTTAACTTAGTTTTTCTGATAGATCATAGAAAACTGAATAAGAAACTGGTTTTAAACCATTCTTAGAACAAACCATCGGCTCACAAAATAATTGTCCAAGACCCATGTTCAAAAACCGAAACTTAATTTTGCAAGTCTATCACAGGTTTTTCTAGAGATGCTAGAGTCAATATTTTTACATGGTTGGATTCGTCAGATGCGTAGCTCCAAAGTTACGAAGAGCTTTTTCAAGGCTTTGGCTGAATAATCTGCGTTTTATTTTAAAAGTCACTTTTTGGCTATATTCTTCTGAATCAACTTTGAATCTACCTACTCCAGGTCTTTGTAATCACTCTCTCTGTGTATTCGTACTATCTCTCACTCTTCAGTACTATCTTCTCCAGGTCTTTTGACGTTTTAGGGTTACTTGGAATGGCTGTGATGCTGTCGTACGTGATATTGAAGCAATAAAAGCTAGGATGGCACACAAATGGTTAGAAATATTCGTTTCTGGTGATTTCGACGAATTCGAAAACGTCAAAAGACCTGGAGAAGATAGTACTGAAGAGTGAGAGATAGTACGAATACACAGAGAGAGTGATTACAAAGACCTGGAGTAGGTAGATTCAAAGTTGATTCAGAAGAATATAGTCAAAAAGTGATTTTAAAAATAAAACACAGATTATTAACCTTTCTCTGAATTTTCAAATCACTTTTTACATCGCAAAATTAGGTTTGACATCTTATCTTTTAGTGAGTCATAAACATGCTCTACTCATCGTCGTATGTCCTCACATATAGGTCCTCCATGACATCACATGACGTTTGGGTGACGTGTAATCGTTGTCATCGCCTACTCACTTTTCTTTCGTTTTGTGTTTTTTGGAGGAAGCTGATAGAGACAGAGAACGGATGCTAATTCTCCCAGCAATACATTCGTTAAAGCTAATAACACGTGTACAGTTTTCATCTTTTTGAATCACTAGGAACAAAACAATTTTTCCCTCTTTTTCACTGTCGTTGTTGTAAGCTTTGCGTTCTTAACTTTTGCTATCAACAATTGTGTAAGTACTTATACGAAATGGAAAAGACAGAACAAAGCATGAAAGATGACGATTACATATCAGTCAATCGCCAATTGTGGAACGCAAACACTAATATTCATGTTGAATCTTCATTTTATAATGTTCGCGGATTTCTTGTGAATAACAATTCTCACACATTAAACCCAACTGAGCTTGACCTCCTCGGTGATACCGAGCAAAAGTGCATTCTTCACTTACAATGTCACTTTGGTCTTGACACATTGTCACTTGCGCGTCTAGGTGCTAAACATGTCACCGGTGTTGATCTATCTAATGTGGCCATTGATAAAGCGCGTAAATTAGCTATTAAGACAAATTTAAATTATATTACCGAATTCATCTGTTGTGACATTTATGAACTGGAACAACAGTTGCCGCTTGAACAGGATACGTTATTCGACATTGTCTTTACTTCATATGGGACAACAGCATGGCTTCCAGATTTGACTAAATGGGCGCGACTGATTGAACAGTATTTGAAAGTCGGGGGTTTCTTTGTAATTGTTGATTTTCATCCAATTGTCTGTTTGTTCGATGATGCCTATGGACCATTAGCAACGCACTCATACTTTGATCGAGGACCGAGTAAGCGTGTGCTAAATCAATTTGACTGTGTCTACTGTGCTGTTACTTCTCTATTTTTGTCTAGTCATCGAAAATACAAAAGGAACCTACGCGGATCCTGATGCTCCCATAGAGAATAAATCTGTTGAATGGAATCACACTATGGCTGATATTATCACAGCTTTAATCCAGCATAATCTTAAAATTGATGTCTTCAAAGAATTAGATAGTATACCTTACGATGTCTATCCTAACATGTGTCGATCGTCACACGATGGACAATATCGATTCAAGAATTTCCATGGGAAAATACTTTTAGTGTATGCAATTAAAGCGACAAAAATTACACCTGGAAATTGATCCATTTGATGATTTTTGTCTCTTTTGATTATTTAAAGAATTCCATCTGAGGCAGCACACCGAGTTAGTATTGTCGTATTATATGAAAGAAGAAACAATTCTGAGCCGTTCTTAATTCGCTTAAATACATTAATAACATACATAGATTTAAATGAATAAAAAATGTGTGAATGATAACACGCATACAGTCAGGTACAACAAATATAGGTTCTCTTTTTTCTAAAAAAGAAAAAGAACCTAATGGAAATACACAGAATCTGTCAAAAATCATTGCTAATCACAAAGAATATCGATAGAAGGACGATGTAACGGCAAGCAAAACACAGAAAAACTAAAAATTTCTTTTCAATATTGTTTCATAATGTTTGTCTTTTTTTCTATTTTAAATCACAACAGATAATTGAAAGTGAAAGTGCGTCATCATGAAATATGCAAGAAAAAGGCAAAAAAATAATATCACAAATCGAAGCGAGAATTGTCCTTAATAACGTAGAATTACAGTTCTGTTCACAAACAGCACACTCACTCTAATAACATGGAACTGAAGATAACAGGAGGATACCAACGTCTTCCATCACATTTTATGCATCGAAAACCAATGCTAACGAGGAAAGGTCCCCAAGTGCGTAATCGTTTTTTTCGAAATTTAGTGGCTAATCGACTTTGCTGAATTCGAATATGGCATCCGTTTAGGTTCTTATGGCTCCAGAGACCGGATTTCTGGAAAACTAGGTTTTCAGTAACTCTAAAAGATAACCAAAACCTCTCTTAATGAGACACGATTGTAGCCCGTACATTTCTGATTAAAATGAGACATTTTCCAGCTCTACATGACCTTTTTTTGCAAAGTTATAGAATTTACACGAAAAGCCCTAAATTAATTTCTTCTTATTTCTGTAGCTTTGAGCTGACAATGAACATTTAGGGCTTTTCGTATAAATTGTATAACTTTTCAAAAAAAGGTCGTGTAGAGCTGGCAGATATCTCATTTTAATAAGAAATGTGCGATCTATAATTATGTCTCATTAAGAGAGGTTTTGGTTACCTT